GCAACGGGGCCGAAGGGCAGCGATGGGGGCCACGAAAGGCTGCAACGGGGCCACGAAACAAAACGAGGGGGCCACGAAGGGCTGCAACGGGGCCGAAGGGCAGCGAGGGGGCCACGAAGGGCTGCAACGGGGCCACGAAACAAAGCGAGGGGGCCACGAAGGGCTGCAACGGGGCCACGAAGGGCAGCGAGATCCCGATTCCGAGGTAATCTGTGAGGGAGTCCTAAGCGTGAGCGCGACTCCTGGGTGCCTGGGTGTCGGGAGCGCGGCGCTTGAATTCCAACGCAAGGGCGCTAATCTAAAATAAAGTGCGAACACATCTCCAGCGAGAGCGCGACTCCAGAGCGCCGGGGGAGCGATTCCTGAATACATTGTAAGGAAGTCCCAAGCGAGAGCGCGGTTCCTGAATAAAATACGAAGAAGTCTCGGGCGGGAGCGGGGGTCCTGGCTAAATTGCAAGGAAGTCTCAGGCGGGAGCCGTTAAATTTTCATTTCTGGACAATCATTATGGTTGATCCCCCATCCACCGGTGCATACTGCTTTTTCTCAATCAAAATGTGCCCCTCGACGCTCGCACCCTGTTCTTTGACAGGGGAAATCTTGATGCTCAAACTGGGCCCCTGGCCCCCGGGTGATAACAACAACGGCTCCCGCCTGAGACTTCCTTGCAATTTAGCCAGGACCCCCGCTCCCGCCCGAGACTTCCTTGCATTTTATTCAGGAATCGCGCTCTCGCTTGGGACGTCCTTACAATGTATTCAGGAATCGCTCTCCCGGCGCTCTGGAGTCGCGCTCTCGCTGGAGACTTGCTTGCAACTTACTGAAAAATGGCCTGGCGTATGAATTTTCTGCACTTTGCAACTTTGCCCAAGCGCCACGCTCCCGACACCCAGGCACCCAGGAGTCGCGCCCATTGTGGCCCCATGTGCGTGCCCTTCGTGGCCCCGCTGTCGCCGTTTGTGACCCCCTCACTGATCTACGTGGCCCAGTTGCTACCCTCAGTGGCCCCATCGTTGCCTCCTGTGGCCCCGCATTATCTGCCCTTCGTGGCCCCCGCTCGTTCGCGCTCTTCGTGGCCCCATGCGCATTCCCTTCGTGTCCCCGCTGTCGCCCTTCGTGGCCTACTTCGTGTCCTTCGTGGCCCTGCTGTCGTTCTCTCTCGCCCTCGCTTTCGGTCGTCGCCGCCGTCGTCGTCGTCGCCGTCGTCTTCGACGTCGTCGTCGTCGTCGTCGTCGTTGTCGTCGTCGTCGTGGTCTGTCCCCTGTCCGTCCCTCTTGGGGTCGGTTCGACGGTCCGCGGCCGCCCCGCCGATCAGCGCTGCCGCTGGCCAGGCCGACGGTCCGCGGCCGCCCCGCCGCTCGCTGGAGCCCGGCCTGCAGGGAAGAAAGGTACACCCCCCAAAAAGGGTTCGATCGAAGACGGAGAGGGCGGGTATCGAGGGTTTGGTAAATACGCGTTATTGGACACTCGAGCATATAAGGGCGAACGGTCTTAAAATCATTGTTGTTGTTGTAGCCTGGGGGCCAGGGGCACAATTTGAGCCTCAAGACTTTCCCTGATAATACAATGATACCGGAGAAAAAAAACCCAATCAGGGCTATAGGGCTAGGGGGCTATAGAGCTATAGGGCTATAGAGTTGTAGGGCTATAAGGCTATTGGGCTACAGGGCTATAAGGCTCAGGGCTATAGGGCCAACTCCCGGGCACCCGTGCACCCGGGCCCCCCCGGGCCCCCCCCGGGCACCCGGGCCCCGGGCACCCGGGCCCGGGCACCCGGGCACCTGGGCGTGCAGCGAAAATCGGCGACAAACTGAACCTAACCATATCAATCCGCCAGGACCCCTACAGAGGCAAGCTCTGATTGGGGAAAAACAGGGTGCGAGCGTCGAGGGGCACACTTTGATTGAGACACAACAGTATGCTCCGGTGGGGGGGATCAACAATAATTAGTCTTCACAAATGAGAGCTCAACAACAACATCACCACCAACAACAACACTCATTCTAAGACTGTTCGCTCTTACTTGCCCGTGTGTCATTCAAAACGAATTCCCTACACCCTCGGTACCCGCCCTTTTTGGTCTTCGGTCACACCCCCTTTGGGGGTATTCTTTCTCCTTGCGGGGTGCGGCGGGCTTACACAGGCGGGCAACCTTGAACGGGCGGATGTGCCCGCCAATTGGACTTGGGGTGGGCCCTGCAAAAGAGGAAGGAGGAAAACGAGGGAGAGTGAGAGGAAGGGAGGAGGAGGGACGAAGGAAGAGGGAAAACGCCAGGAGAGAAGGAGCGAAGAGGGGAGCGGATAGAGAGAGAGAGAGAGAGAGAAAGACAGATAAGAGAGGTAGAGAAAGCGAGAGAGAGAGAGAGAGGGTATAGAGAGAGAGAGAGAGAGAAATAATGAGGGAGGGAGGAGGCAGGACAGGGGAGGGAGAAGGGAGGAGGGATAGGAGGGAGAGGGGATAGGGCAGAGAGGCATAAGGATGAGGGAAGAGAGGAGGGAGAGAGAAGGGAGGAGAGGAGGGAGGAGAGAGAGGGAGGAGGAGCAGGAAGGTAAGAACGTGAACGTTCGAGGAAGTCCTAGGCGAAAACGCCGTTCCTGAAGGAAGTCTCGGGCGGCAGCCCACGACGGACGGGCGATCACCTGACGGGCGGGTCGGGCGGGTGGGACAGTCAAGCGGGATGCCTGAGTATGGCGAAAGCGCGATTCCTACGTAAATTGTGACGACGTCATTGGCGCAGCGTGTTTCCTGAGCGGCGAAAGCGCGATTTCCAAATAAATTGCCTGGAGGCCCAGGCGAGAGAGCGCAATTCCTAAATAACATGTGAGGGATGCTCTGGCGGGAGCGGGGGTCTTGATTAAATTGCGAGACTTCTTGATTCAATTGCGAAGAAGTCTCAAACGGGAGCGCCGTTCCTGAGTAAATTGTGAGGAAGTCTCAGATGGGAGCGGGGGTCTTGATTAAATTGCGAGGAATTCACACGCGGAAGCACCGATCCTGAGTAAATTGTGAGGAAATCTCGGGCGGGAGCGGGGGTGCTGAGTAAATTTAGAGGACGTCTCAGGCGGGAGCCGTTGCTGTTGTAATCCGGGGGGCCAGGGGCACAGTTTGAGCACGAAGACTTTCCGTGTCAAAAAACAAGGTGCGAGCGTCGAGGGGCACACTTGATTGAGACGAAACAGTATGCACCGGTGAGGGGGGATCAACAATAAATATTCTCCAGAAGTGAAAATTCAACAACGCAACAAACATAATCCTCACCACGGACTTCCACTTCAGCCACGCACCCAGGGACAATGAATGACCGTTCGGCCCCCTCACTCTGATTTTTACAAAATGTCCCCAAACTATGTTGTGACTATCTTGAAATTTTCCGCCTATAGAGGGGCATGCCCGACTCAAGTCTAGAGGCCTCCGAGAAGGGGTCGGAGGATCGCGCCGCATCGCCGATACGTCGGCGATGCATCGGCGACGCATGGCCGATGCACCAGCGACGCATCGGCGATGCGTCGGCGACGTCGGCGTGGAGGAAGTCGGGCTCCACATCGAGCTGCATAGCCAATGCATCTTGCGATGTGGCGCGACCCTCCGACCCCATCTTCTCCGACCCCATCCAGACCCGGACCCCCGACGTCGTGATTTTTGCTTGCAACGTCGACCCCAAATGCCTGGACCCCTACCCTGGGACCCGTTTCTCATCGTGAATCGTTTCTTGACGATCCCAGGACCCGGTATGGGCCCCCGGAGGCCGAACATGGCGAAAAACCTCCCGTCGTGACTTGTTTCACAGCGCGGGAGAGGGGGACAAGGAGGAGGAGGAGGAGGAGGAGGAGGAGGAGGAGGAGGAGGAGGAGAGAGAGGAAGAGGAGAGGGCGAGGAGAGAGGAGGAGGAAGAGGAGGAGAGGAGGAAGGAGGAGGAGGAGAGAGGAGGGGGGAAGAGGAGGAGGGGGAGGAGGAAGGAGGAGGAGGAGGAGGAGGAGGAGGAGGAGAGGAGGAGGAGGAGGAGGAGGAGGAGGAGGGGGAGGGGGAGGGAGGAGGACTGGGTACCCCGACCCCGCCCAGAGGATGCCCAGAGAGCCGGCGGAGTTCGCAGAGCCGCGCCTCGGCGCACCGAGGCAGCGCGACGGTGAGGCGCCGCCTCCGCTGCGACCACCTGCAGGACGCCGCCGCCGCCGCGGCGGCGCCCGCGCCGGGGGGCAGCCGCACCCGCAGCAGGTTCACGCCGCCCGCGCCCAGGAGGCACACCCCCGCACTCGAGACCTCCGGGAGCAGCGCGGGCCCTAGACATTGGAGGCCTCCTCCTCCTCCTCCTCCTCCTCCTCCTCCTCCCTCCTGCCCTTCGTACTCCTCCTCCTCCTCCTCCTCCTCCTCCTCCTCCTCCTCCTCCTCCTCCTCCTCCTCCTCCCCCTTCTTTTCCTCCAGCTCTTTCTGGCCCGAATCGGGTCTGCAGGGGTAGAAACATTAGGAAGGGTTTTTTCTCTCCTGCGAGCCAAGTTTTGGCGTCTGGGTTTCCTGGGTGACGTCCCCAAGAGTCCTGGACTATAAACGGTTACTGCGGCCTGGCTGGCCTTACTTCCGTCACGGCGCCGCCATGTCGCGCCGCTTCGCTGCTGACCCCTAGCGTTGCAAGGATTGCGTCGCGAGGGACGGCATGCCGTGAATCAACCGTGGCGACCTCAAGCAGTGCTCCACATGCAACTTGCATAAAAAAGGAGTCAGCTACTGTGGTCCCAGAACGCCCAAGGGGAGCCCTGCGACCAAGTCCACGGGCTCACCCAAGGCATCTAAGGATAAGTCCGACACCGCCTCCATGGCTAAGCAGCATGCCGACCTGCAGACCATGGTCAAGAAGCTCATGGTCGCCGAGTCGCCTCCTCCTCCTTGGGCTGCTGCTGCTGCTGGGGGGAGTGCTTCTGCTGCTGGGGCGGGCGTCGGATTGGACAGTGGGTACCCCCGCGGGGCTCCCACTGGTGACAATGGAGGCACCGCTGATCCGTCGGAGAAGCAGGTCAAGCGTGACCGCATCAAGAAGACCAATAAGCTCCTGAAGGTCTATGATGGATCCTCCATGGCCTCGGACCTGGCGAAGGTCAAGTCCCTCACCGAAGGGAAGGAGCGCTTGGGCAAGGAGCTCGACGCCGAGCGCCCCTTGGAGGATCAGGTCACCTCCCTCACCACGAGGCTGCGGAACTCCCGTGCCAAGGCCAAGCGCCTTCGCGAGGAGCACGCTAAGAAGCAGCTGGTAATCGACGAGCTGGTTGCCAAGCGGACGGTGCTCCAGGACTCCTTGGCCGAGGCAAGTGCCGAAGTCTTGCCGACCGAGCCCCTCCGCCCACTGCTGGCAAGCCCAGGCACCATGAGCTGCTGCCGAAGTTCGCTGTCAACGTCCACCAGCTTTGCGAGTTGGCCGTAGAGCTCGGCTTGGACTCCAGTCTTCAGGCGGAGCTGGAGACGGCGGCCAAAGTCTCTGGGGGGCTCCATGAGCTTCCCCAGCTGAAGCCGGCGGCGGCACAGGTGCCCTCTGCTGCCCCTGGTCCTGCGACCCCTGCTGGGGAAAAAGGAGGAGGAGTTGCGTCCACCGCCGTTCTCCTCGCGGGCCGGGCGCAGGTCCTCGCTGAGGAAGCTGCCAGGGACGACATGGAGATCGACGTCGACCTCATGGAGTCCGCCGAGCTGCGGGAGGCGTTGGAGGCGGCAGGACTCACGCAGCCTGACGACGCCACCGACGCGGACATGCGGGTGGCGTACAAGCGTGTCCTCGACTCCTTCACGCATGCGGCTACGGCGCACAAGAGGAGGAAGAAGGCTCGATCAGCCCCTGAGGGCAGCGCCTACCAGCGCGGCTACACGAATGGCACGTGCCATGCACAGACCACTTCATGTGAGCGCTATGCGTCAGCCGGTTCTGACGTGCTGTGCGGCCATCAAACTGACAGGAAGTCCTATGGACGGAATGTCAGCTGTGGCCTCCCGTGCACTGACAGCACGCACTATGTGCAGGCTGTCAGCTGGGGCCTTCATGGCAGGAAGTTAACGAGGGGCGCGCCCACAGGGCAGCACGTACTATGTACACGTTGCTCCTAGGTCGTGTCCTGGCTGCATGGGTCCGCCTCCAGTGGACGAGGAGCACAGTGTGTCTCCTGCCAGTGGCCACTACTGCTCTAGCCCGTCGCCGTCAACCTGTACTCCAGCCCACGCGTCTTCACCGTGTGCGGCGCGCCCGCGTGGATGGACCTTGGTGCTGTTCTGGTGCCTAGTCACCCTGTTCGAGGTGGGTTCTGCTCGAGCCCCCTACAGCGGTGGGAGGGTAAATTCTGTGGCTGACCAGTCCGCGGGCTTGCTCCGCAACTGGCGGAAAGCGCCACCTCGATACCGAGCTGGCGGCAGCGACGCAAGCATGTCACAGGGTTGCGATCCCTTTGTGCTCGGCCCCGGCGCGGCCATGCCTGATGCGGGCGACGCGCACTGTCAGGTGGCAGCCAAGCTGGTCACGGTCAACCCTGGCTCTCACGGGCCACTTCTCAATTTCCTGCCGCGCTTCCTCGGCAACGCGGTGATGGTCCAGGAGGCGCGGGCGGTCGACCATCGGCTTGGGGCCGTTCAATCTGCTGTGCGCGATGCAGGTTGGCACGGCCTCTGGGCTCCCGCCGAGGAGACGGGAGGAGCGTCCGCGGCGTCGTGCTCCAGTGGAGTTTGCGTGCTCGCGCCTACCAACGTGATGGTCACGATGCCCTCCGATGGGGACATGTCGTCTTTCCACGTCATGCTGTGGCAGCTCATGTTCACTGGGGTGTCCCTGGTGGTCTGATTGTCGTCAGCGTGTATATGGTTCCGGGCATCCGCATCACTGGGGCCAACCTCTGGATCCTATGGGCGCTTGCGAAGCGCGCGGTGGCGTGGAACGCACGCGGCCTCGACTGGATCGTCGGGGGTGACTGGAACGCCAACGGCCAGAGCATCAACATTGGCGACTGGGTTGGGTCCTTGGCAGGCACTCTCCTCCAGCCGTCGGCCTCTACGTGCGTCACCTCCAACGGAGTGCCCACCATCGACTACTTCTTGGTGGCCAGCAACCTCGCGTCCCGTGTCTCTCGTCAGCCCGAAGTGATACATGGATGTGGGAGCATTCCCAGACCCCACTACCCTGTGGGTCTGGAGCTGTATGGGGAGGCCGCGCCGACGTGGTGCCGCGTCCCCGATGAGCCTCGACCACTGCCTGCTGTGCCCCCTGTTGGCTGTGCTCGTTTCCCCTTTCCTTGGCATACTTTGGATAGCCTATTTGTGCGAGCAGCCACCGCGCCGCACAGGGTTGCTGGCACGGACCATGTCCAGTCCCGGCCCGATCGGGACCGATGCAGGTCCTTCGATCACTTTGGTCCATTCGGCACAATTAAGCGCGATCGACCGGGACGCGCGGGCCAACGCTACCGCCGTCGGACCTGAGCCCATGGACAGGCCGTCGGCGAGGCGGGCACGCCTCATGATGTCTTGCAGCAGCCCTGGGACTACGTTCTGCAGGGCATTGACTACGACATCGCAGGCAGGCGCGACAAAGTTGGCCCTGGAGCCAACCGCTTCGTCGGGCACCACGGCCCCCCCAAGGTGAAGTGGCGGCAGCTGCGGTGGGGGCCACCTCGCAAGCGGCTGTGCCACGACACCACTGTCTGGGCTTGGGCTACTGCGGCACGCTGGGCTACTCACCTTCGTGCTGAGCGTGATCGGGTCCAGCGTTTTGGTCGCGGGTTGAATGCGGCGGCGGCGCGTGCGTCTCCAGCTCCCAGGCAGCTGCAGAAGACGGCCAATGTTTTCTACGACATCCTCTGCTTCCTGAGCTCTATTGTCGGGCAGGATCAAGTCCTAACCAACATCGGCCCCTGCTACCGCCAGCTCTTCCCGCGCGGGCTGGACGGGCTGACTGCGGAGGACTTTGATTACATGGTAGATGCCATCGTGGGCCGTGCGGAGTACCTCACTGCAGCGGCTCGCGGCGCCTCGGAGAGATCCTGGCGCAGCTGGGCGCAGGCGGCCTTCAATGGGGGAGCGAAGGCTGCCCATGCTGCATCCAAGGTCAGGGCGCAGCAAGAACTCGTTGCCCCTGAGACCGACGCCAAGCCATACATCCTCGCGGACCGCACCGTGGACGAGTGGAAGCGGATCTGGGCGACCCATGGGCTGGAAGAGCTGCCTCTACCCACGGATGCACCTACGTGGGAGGAGCTGCCTAGCCTGACGGTCCATGACCTACGGCAGGCCATCCGATCTTTCTCTCTCGTCAACGCCTCGGGGCCCACCCGCATTCCACCCAAGGCGCTCGAGCACTTATCGGATGAGGCCCTCAGTAGGTTGGCCCAGATGTTCAAGGTCTTTGGGCTGCACCTACGGTTTCCCCCAGGCCGCCTGTAGAATGAGATGGTCCGTCTCCCTAAGCCAGATGGTGGCCACAGGCTGATTGAGTGTGCGTAGCCATACTCCCATACGAGTTTGGGCGAAAGCACGCCGATGGCTGTCGGCATAATGACAACGGCCGCATAATTGCGACGAGATGCAGGGCACTCGAGGCAGCCACACATCCACGGCTTCGGCTCCCGCTCACAATCTGGAGCAAGAGGTGGGAAGCCTCATCGGCGACCACACTTGTACCATCCTCCTTGACATGGTGAAATGCTATGGCATGGCACGGGAGCTGGGTTACCCGATACGCCTGCTCTGGATGTTGCTGCAGCTCTACTAGCAGCCACGGCGCATCAAGGCGTACGGCAGCCTCTCGTGCTCCTTCGTCGCCTTTCAGGGGGTGCTGGCGGGGTGCACACACATGCCACTAACCTCATCTACCTGCTGACGTACCGTGTCCTCCAGCGGGCCAGCAGTGTTGCGCCGACAATCGAGCCGCGTTCGCTGGTGGACGACATCGGCCTGCAGATGGTCTCCCCCGACATCGGTGATGACAAGCTGCTGCTGCGCACAGCGATGGTGCTCACTGCAAAGGCCAGGGGCCTCGGGTTTATTCCCCAACCTGCTAAATCCGCGGTAGTGGCTAGATCAGCGCAGGTCCGCCTCGTGGTGCGCAGGGCCCTGCGGCGGCTGCCTCGGGCGGCGCCCCAAGCCCGACGCGTGCGCAACCTTGGCCATGAGCTGCGTGGCCCCCGAGTGCTGAGGAAGGTTGAGAAGAAGCGCATGAAGGCCGCGCGGGGGCGCAAGCACCGCCTCCTCATGCTGCGTCGCGCGGTAGGGCGCAAGGCCTCCACCCCGTGGCGGACTGGGCTCATGCCGCCCGCAGGGCACGGCGCTGGAGTGTCGGGGTTGGCGGGCGCGCCCCTACGCGAGATGCGCAACTTGGCCGCGGTGCTAAACGGGCGCAGTGACAAACACCATGCGGGCGTCACGGCACACCTCCCTGCTCACCCTTCGGAGGAGTACGACCTCATCTATCATGCCACGCTGGACCTGGTCTTGAACTACGCCGCCTGAATTTGGGATGGGCGGACGTCGCCTAGCCGCCTTCACAGGGCTTAGATCACGATCCATGAGCGGCTTGGCCCCCCGGCCGCGACGTGGTCGACGCTCAGACGGCTAGCCTGGGACATGAAAGCGCCGCGCGACTTGCAGGACGACCTGGGCAACCAGTAGGACCTGTGCCGCGCGCGCCCTGCTGACCCACGCCCGTGTCTGGTGCAAGGCGTGCAGCGCTGCCAGCGCGACCGCCTCGCCAGCCACATGTACTCCCACGCTGGTGCGCCCATCTGGCGCCGTGGGCTCAGGCGCGCGGTCAAGGGCGTCCGCGCCGCAAGGCAGATGGGAGCGTTGCAGGCGCAATGGTCTGACAACATACCCATGCCGATCCGCAGGGACATGAAGCTCGGCATGCCGATGCGCCCTTGTCAGGCTTGCGGGGAGGCCCCTGCGCCCGATGAATGCTGGGGCCACGTCTTCTTGGAACGCCCCGCGCTGCTGACCCACCCTCCCGCAGGGGAGCTGCGACCCACGGGGCAGGGGCCGACGGGCCATGTCCAACCCTGCGACATGTGCAGAACCCTGAAATGCAACAGGGCTTTGGCGACCTACGCCTGCTAGCTCGCGACAACCTCGAGAATCGGGCCGACCCGGCCCTGCCGACCCTGCCGACCCGACCCAGCACCATGAAGGCCGAGGGCGACTTCTTTCCAGGCATCTGTCAAGGGGTTGATGAAGAGGTCGACTTTGCGCCACCCGATGGGGTGGACGCGCAGAGTGTCTCCTGTGCGCCACCGGTTGCTTCGGAACAGATTCGCCCGTTGCCCCCTGCGGCGGCGGCCCCAGCCTTGGCGCCCGACGCACCGCGCGGGCGCGGCGGGCCCGAGACAGCGACACCAACGCCGCATGGCCGCGGCATCTTCCCCCCCCCCCCCCCAAGTGCTGGCTGAGGCGCGCGACCAACTTATCCAAGCGAGTCTTGGATCAGGCACGCCCAACCCCGAGCAGTCCTACCTCGTTTTCGGCGTACCCGAGCCTCCCGCTCATCTGCCACGCGCAAGTGCGCGGAGGCAGGATGTCTGCCTTTAAGGCGACGCCCATGGCGTTTGGGGCCCCGTTTCTTACACCGACGGGTCTGGTTGCGACTTTGGTGTTCCCGAGGTGCGGAGATGTGGACAAGCTTTTGTGCAGCTGGATCCTTGCTCCTGGCTCCCAGTGAGGGCGCGGTTCGGGCCCCTTCCGCACTTGGTGCAGACTGTTGGCCGTGCTGAGAGGCACGCGATCAGGGAGGGGCTCGACGCTTTCCCTGACCACCAGCGCTTCGTCACTGACCTGCTGGTGCTCGCCCAGGAAGGAGAGCGCTGGTGTCCCGAGCTCGAGCAGGGTCGCGCCAAGCATGCTCGAGCGTGGCGGGGCAACTTCGTGGCCAGCCGCAGGCGCACTCCTCGCCCCCCCCCCCCCCCCAAGTTCCGATGGACGCCCGCGCACAGGTCCTTGGAGGAGCTCATGGGCACAGAGCCGCAGGAGCTGCGTGACTGGCTAGGCAACGGCTGGGCAGACTACTTCGCGCGCTGCGGTGCGGCCTCTCACGCGCTGGCTGGGTCGGTAGCTGAGGCGGCAACATCTGCGCTGAAACAGCACCGCAAGGTCCTGCAGTTCATTTCGTGGGCGGCACTGCAGGCGGTGGCTCGCGATCAATGGGGATGCGGCGTGGAGGCCCCCAGGCCGCCTTGCAAGCAGGCCAGGCCCATTGTGGTGGCACGCATTGCGGACCATGTCCTTGCTGGCTGCGCCAGCCTCGGGCGGCGCCGATCTACCTAATGCGGAGTCACGGCCGCAACGGGCTCCACCCTCGAGTCGCTGCAAACTGGCATTCATCGTGTATGTCGCCCTTCGCGTGTTGCCAGAGTTTCGACGCCGAGTACTTCCGCGCCCTCGGCGAGGGCTGGGTTCTCTGCAGCGGCCGGAGGGCTGGCATGGCCCTGGGCGCGGCCGCGGCGCTCGAAGGGAGCTCACAGCCCTCGGCCCCCGCAGCCTTGCTGCCACCTGCCCTGGCCGAGGAGGTCGGGGACGCCTTCGCTGCGGTTGGGTACGACGTGTTCAGGGACAACAGCGTTTACTGTCGCAGGCGCTGCGGGTCTCACTGTGCTGCGGGAGATGTCCGCACAGTGCGGAAGCTTGGCTTGAGGTGCGATGGGCTCTCGCCCAACGAGTCCACGCGCCGCAACCAACAAGATGCGATCAGGCGCGGGGCCTGGCGCCTCGTGCCCGACGTACCCCAGCAGCGCCGCCCCCGCAGGGGGGCTCCTCTTGCAACCACGCGGCGCGTTGATTGACCATGTCGTGATTCGTTGCCGTTCCGTGGTCGGCTGGTGGCACGGCGTCTTCTTCTGTGGCGACGCCTCCTTCGTCGGCGACAAGTTGGCCTGCGTCCACGGCCTTGAGGGCGACTTCTCCCAGTTGCTCTCCATCTAAATTGTCTCCTTCTCTTACGGTACCGTGCCGTGAGTAGGCGGCACCAGGGGGTAGTCCGTCGCGCGCCCGCGTGCGCGGCGGGAGACCTTCCTGAGGCGCTGCGCTCCATCTTCTTCTTTTTCTCCTCCTCTTCCCCCTCCTCCCCCTCCTCCGTCTCCTTTTCCTCCTCCTCCTCCTCCTCCTCCTCCTCCTCCTCTCTCCTCCTCCTCCTCCTCCTCCTCCTCTTCCTCCTCCTCAATCCTCCTCCTCTCCTCCCCTCCTCCCCTCCCCCTCCCCCTCCCCCTCCCCCTCCCTCCTCTTCCCGCCCAGATGGGCTCGGAAGACCTCGCTGCATCGCCGATGCATCGCCGATGCACTGGCGACGTCGTCGATGCATCGGCGATGTCGGCGTGGAGAAAACTGGTCCCCACATCGAGCCGCATCGGCGACGCATCGGCGACCGACCCCATGCACTCCGACCCCATCTAGGAGGCCTAGAGATCTGTTCGCGGCGTGAAAAAATCGCGGCGCCCTGTTTTTGATGCAGTTTTTGTAAGTTCCCGAAGGTCTTGCGACACTCGGCCTGGTTTTCAGCAGCTGCGCCTCGTCGAGGGCGCTCCAGGGGTGCCTGGATCGTCCCGCGCGGCAGCTGGAAGTCCGAGCTATGGCCCGAAAACTGACATGTTCGAGTTGTGAAACACGGCAGGGGGAGGGGGGGGGGCGTTTTCGGCCTCCAGGTGTCCTCGCCAGGCCCCAGGACCGTCAAGAAACAGCTCGGGATCAGATGCTGGCCCTGGGGAAATGGTCGGGGCGTCATGGGGCCGCGCCTTCACACAAATCAAGATGTCGCATGCCTGGGGGAGCCGGGCCAGCTGGGACAGCGGCAGCTCAGGAAGTGGTCCCACCAGTTTGCCGAGCCCCGCCGCGCAGCGGCGACCGATGGATAGGCAGCAACTCCTCGGATGTCGTCGTGGGAGCGACGAGGGGCACCTCGGCCCAATTCATGGGGCCCTGGAGCCAGAGGCGCCCGGATCCGTAGGCCCAGGAGGAAGGTCGATTGGGCTGGACCACGCGGGAGCCAGGAGGAGGAGGAAAGGAGGAGGAGAGGAGGAGGAGGAGGCTTAGAGGAGGAGGAGGAGGTAGTAAGGTAAGGAGGGAGGAGGAGGGGGGGGGGGTGGGGGGGGAGGGGGGAGTAGGAGAGGAGGAAGGAGCCCCCGGAGGAAGGTCGATTGGCTGGAACCGCGCGGGGTGACAAGAAAGGGTAGCCAGGAGGACCGTGACGTTGTTCGGCCCGCTGTCGGCCAAGGGCCCCAGACCTCCTCCTCCTCCTCCTCCTCCTCCTCCTCATCCTCCCCTCCTCACCACCTCCTCCTCCTCCTCCTCCTCCTCCCCCGACGCCGTGTCTTTTTCGCAGAGTCGACCCCCAAAGGTCTGGACCCTTTCCCCGGGACCGGATTCTCATCCTGCGTGGTCGTTC